AGCAGCAGTTCGAAGCCTAATCCTCGCAGTCCTGCGCTTCGCAGGACCCACTGCAGTCCTCACCGCCCGGGGGCCCCACTCCACCACCGGGGGGCCCCCACCAAGGTCCAAATACCGATCTTCAGGAGCTCCGCTCTCCTGAAGCAAGACCGTCGGTGGCCGGGATGGATGGAAACTACCTGCCCATGGTGGACACCACCCGCAAGTGCTCAAGTGATTGAACCATCCTACTATCGAGAACCCATGGTCCCCTTGGGGAACACCAAGTGGAGTCTCAGCGTTCGCCTAGGTTGGAGGAACGGGCCTAGGCGTTCCCCCGGCCCAGTTCGACATGTGGTGACCAGGAATGCCTACAACCTGTCAATCCACAGGCACACCCACCACGTCAGCTCAGTGGTCATCGCATTGCCAGTGGTCCAGGGCCTTTTTCGTCCGCGAACAGCAGAGCTCTTACAGCGACGTACCAGGTCCTTTTACCGAAGACGCGGCCAGCTCTGTGCTGGCCCCGCCGCCCCTGGCCTGGATCCCTCCCCCCCACCGTGCACCGAACACGTCGTCTCCATGCACTCAACGGCGAGCCCCCCCCAGGAGCGAAGGTGAGACCGTGGCCATGCGTGGCCTGAAGTCGTCGTTCGAAGGCCGCCAAATGGCTGACGTTGCCTTGGGTGACGCGGACCGGCCACGGTGACTAAGATGGAAGGCCCGGCTCCCTGGTGTGGGGGGGAGGGTCGGGACCCTGGTGTGTGAAGCCACTGCTTCAGAACTAAGTCTGTTCGAGTGCCCACCGGTGTCCCAGCGATTCTGACACCCATCGCAAGAAAAGCGGTGCATGTAGCGCAAGTCAAACTGCCACACTCATCGGGCACGCTTTGGGTGTATTCCATTACCAGGGACCCGTGGATCTGATGATGGCTAGGTTGCAGGCCTTTCTCCACATAGTGATGTGATGTGATATGTAGATGTATCCGTCTCTCTCTCTCTCTCTCTGTGTTTTTTTTCCGACTGCTCATGGGGCACAGCCCATGACATGCGGCGGTTTCTTCGCTTCCACGGCGGTTTCCACGAACCGATCCTCCCGGCACCGTCACCAGGCTCCCGCGCTCGCCCAACGGCCTTCGAGCTCTTCGAGTGAGTCCTGCGTGGCGACGGGAGACCCATAAGGACTGGGGGGAGGGTGAATTACTTACTATGAATTATCCCGTCCTTGAGGTGTTAATTGATCCCTTCGCCACGTTCGAATATGCAAGAATAACCTTTACAGTCAAGGGGCTGTAGCGCAATTCGGCGGAATAAGACAAAGGTGGATCTGCTCTTTCGAGGGCTTCTCCTAAAACCCTGCCACCTTCGACAGCCCCCATGTTGGTCGCATAGCCTGTCCTCTCCCTGTGGCCTAGAGGGCACACTGAGGAGGGACAAATTAGGATGGGTTCATGCCGATCTGCTCTCTGCATGGATCCACACTTCAACTACGTACCGTGCTCATACTCAAGGAAAGGAACTCCATAGCATATATGATGCATGCATGGCATATGCTGCATGGCATATATCAACATATCAATTCAAATCATATTCAACTATGACCTCGGCTGAAAGGATCCGCCGAAGCGTTCAATTGGTGGACACTCCCGGTCTTCTTGCGGCAGACCGCCCCAGGTCTCGTTCGGTCTCGTTCGGTCTCGTTCGGTCCCAGGTCGACAGCGTCACACGTCGACTGCGGGCCCACCCTGAAGAAAAGAAAAAGAAACCTGGGATCCGGTATAGACTCTAGACATCTCTAGACTGACCTTGCTTTACGATCAAGTAAATACTTGGGATCTTCCAGAAAGGCCAGGAGTTGCATGTGAAGAGCCCATGAAGTTGGGTCAGCAAAAGACAGATGGAACCAACTGCCCGCGCTTAGCAGCTCAAATCTGCTAAGCTTCTGTCCGGACATTGCCCCTGCCCTCCCCGAATCGGCAGCAGGGACCCGCCCGGGAGCGATGGCTGGAGTTTTTGGGGACGAAAATCCCCTCGAATCCCGAAGATGGGTCAGTCTGAATGGATGAATGGGGCGGGCTGGGGGAAGTTCCATCCCTGATTTCAGGGCGCCCAGAGCCCTGGGTGTTTTCAGACATCTTTCTGAAAAGAACTCACTCGGCTGCAGGACATATATAACAAGACGGCGAGAGGTTTACAGTCTGTAGACTACAGCTATGTCATGCTATAAACTCTGATTCCCCACCATTCGTGGCAACAATTCCTCTGCAGCGACATGCACAACACGACGCCCCCCACCAATAGCAATGATGGCTCCAGTCTCCGCACGCGGAGGCCCCGTCCTGTCCATGTCTGGCGCCCATCCAGAGCCTGAACCTCGAGTTCCAACTGGCAGGAGCACCGACGGACCGACTCAACCTCACTCTCTGCAAAAATGCAGAGGCGTCAACTGTTGGCATTGTCCTGCTCCTGATTGGATGCTCAGTGCAAGAAACAAAGGATGATTCTTTATTCATATGGTGAGGCTGAGCACCAAAAAGACCTTTGCCTACTAGAAACTGGTTGTATTTAACTGCTTGGCCCAAACATGGTTTTACACTGTTTTACCAATGCCCCATGCAACTCCACAGATCCCAGGATCTAAACCAGCTGCCCACCCGTTAAACAACGAGGAGGCGTCTCGGGGTCGAAAACGCACGTCGTCTCGGTGTCTGGCGGCTTAGCCAGGTGCATGGACGAAAACGCCGATGGACGTTCAGCACTGAAATGAGTTCAGGGTTAAGTTTAGGGCTTTAAAGGCAGCTTCACACATTGACATTATTAAGAGCTTTGGTGTGCCACGTTCAAGACAAGAGTTTCGGGTTGAGGGGTGCAGGCTTGCATGCTGGCTTAAATTCGTCCACCACCTGGTCCAAAAGGACATCGATGAGCCAAATGCGCGGGGCCCCAGGCCCAAGCAAGGCAGCCAGGAGCGCACATAAGGCGACCAGGCCAAGGCAATTCCAGGCCTCGCGCAACAAATAGTATGTATACAGTATAAAAATATATATATATATGCACACACACTGAAGAAGTCCAAATACACTTACGTCATGGCAGTCTTGCTGGTACTGACCGGTCACCCAAGGTGCCAGGGTTTGCCCTGAACCCTTGGCAAGGCCACATCACAACGAGTACCGATGTCACATACCTCAGGGGTAGCGAAACTGACCGGTCCTCAATGTAATCTTCATCAACTCAACTGATTCAGGACAAGAAATTGTTCCGCCAATTCTGAAGAGTTCGGAATACACTACATGTGGTGGATGCGCAAGTTTCTTGCTCTGGCTCCAGGCGTGAAATGAAACCTTTAGAGGCAGCTCTCGCTGTGTGGGGATTTCGGTAGGGTCAGTGTCTGGCTACTTCTGTGGCCCGCTTGCGTGAGTCTTCTGGTCCGGCCTTTATGTTCCCCATGAGCGCTGCCATCGCGTCGTTCGCATGGCGAGGTTGGTGGTTCCACGGCACTGGAAAGAGTTGGCTCAGCTGATCTCTGATCCGTTGGTTGGCGTGTGTGGATGTCGAAACCACAAAACCGCGGGCTGTTCGGATGAGTGTGATGTCTGACTGCATCGCGTACACGTGTGTTCTGAGACAGCAGCGGTGCGGGAGTGCTATTGATGGATGTGGGATCCAAGTTTGGTTGGCAAACCCGTGGAAGATTCGAATCAACAGGGATTCAGTAACCGTCACATACACTTCAGTTGTCAAGATGAACCACCAGTTCCACATTGTTTAGTCCTTCCAAAGTTGCAACACATGTGCAGCGCATGCACCGATGCAAATCTACTTAACAGAACATCATGAAACACTCAAACGAACTGCTGGCTAAAGGAAGGACATTCTGATCAATGAAAGCTACCAAATCACTTGGAAAACTTCAAATTTACGTGTGCCAGAATATGTTGTATGAGGTCTTCGAGGCCAGGGAACAGTTCTTTTGCGGTGCTGCTAGCTTGGGGGCCTCTGGCACAACCTAAAACACAATAAATACTGTATACAGAAGTATATAAAATTTATGTGTATATATATATATATGTTTATATGTGTGTGCAGAAGCTTATTGGTGCACGAAAGGGAAGAAAGACTCTTCTGATCTCTTCGGATATGTCAGCATGAGTTGGCATGCCTGTTCTTGATGGGTTTCACTTAGAACTCCGTTGAAATGGTGTTCCTAGTCAACTTCCTTTCCTTATCAGAAATCGCTTCAGGCATGTTCATGCCACTGTCTTGGACGGAACCCTGGAACTGCTTGTTGACAAAAGCCGGAATGGGACGTCGCTGGTCTCTCTATATTAATCGGCAAGGATGGCCCACCCTTCCAAATCCATCAAAAACCTCATTGACCATGGCATCCCAACCTGAATCCGCACGATCAAAACGCCCGCAAGTCACAAGTCAAGAAAAATCCTTTTCCAGAGACCTTGCTGCTGCTCGGCTGGTGAAAAAAGACCTTCTGGGGCCGTTTCCCCCGTGTCCTCCCTTTAGGAGAATTTCTTCAAGTCGGTCGTCCTTCCAGCGGGCGCAGGGCAAGGCCCAGAAAGGTGCGTCAGCAAAGCCCAGAAAGCCAGAAACACGACGTGTTGCTAGCTTTTCCCTAGATACTCCGTGAAGTCAACGAATCATGGAAGTGGGTTCTGGGAAGACGATGTCCTTGTAGAAACAGGGGGTGAACTCCAATTCCATGCTTGGAGGGAGAAGTAAGCACTCTAGAGGTGCTGAGGACCGTCCCTTCGAGCTTCGAGGCGATCCCACCGGGGAAAAGATGAACGGAAGACGCCTCGACTCTGCGGCACAGCCGATCAGGTGAACTACTCCTTTTGAAGCCGATGTTTCTTGGCATTGCCATCACCTTTATCGAGCTACTAGGCCTGGGCAATCCCAAAGGAAAACTCACCAGGAGACCACTTGTGCCACTGCTGAGGCTTACAAGAAACATCGTGATCTTCTCTTATCGGTCCGTTGGAAGTTTGCCATGACTTGAGACGTGTCCTCTTTGGGTGAGCTCCTTGGGATTTTGCCCAGTACCCCACGACGGGCATGTCGCCATGCCGCACTAAGGGTTTGGTTGCCGCGGGGTGGGCGAACCTTCCTCGCCTGAGCGGACGGTCCGCGGACGAGTGGGAGTCTGAGTGCAATGGACCAATTACTCATGGCCAAAAGGTGTACGTTGAATTGGTCTATCCCTTGGAGTCCTTCGATACAGTCATTTGGCATCCACCAAGCATCACAAAGTCCAAGTCTTGGCAAGATTATCTTTAACAGAGACAACCACCACTACGCTCCAGGAAAACTCAACTAGAACTGAACTTTTTGCGGCGCCTGGCACGGTGCCCGGCAAATTGATCGGAGGAGGCGATGTACCTCCCAGGCAATGGTTGCCGGCTTTGTGGCTTCAAAAAGAACATCAAATGGGGCCGGTATTTATAAATATATATAAATAAATATATATATATATATATGTTATGTGTTGTTATCATATATTATCTTACTATACTATACTATACTGCTATATAATATTGTCAATGTTGTATTATAACATGTACGTCTGTGTGTGTGTGTGTTCAAGCGTGTCCCGTCTTCACTCCCTGATGGAACCCCAGTTTGGGGGAAGTTCCATCAATTGACAGTCTGACAACACACAGCCGTTGCCTTGATAGATGGTGATAAACAAAAAGACAGGTGACTCAATGCAAGCTCAAGTTCAAGATCTTTCAGAGGGCCACAACCCAAAGAACAGAGCCGCGATGATTTGCGTTTCCAGTAGGATGCTGGTTAGGATTTCGGAGGTTTGTCTGCAATGTATGGAGGTTGTGAATAAAAATCCTCCAAAACCACAATAAACGGGAACACGTCAGAGGAAACAGCAAGTGCCCCCTGGGCCGGGCCTCATTGTACAGACCCGGGCCCCTCCACCCCATCCCTTCTTCGCCCGCACCTCTCATGGTCGAAGTGCTTTGGTTGGACACACCTGGCGTTTCACCACGAAAACCGATCTCCGAACCTCTCCGATCTCAACGGAAGCACGTCCAATCGATCACAACGGGTCGTGCAATCTTGTGAGGAAAGAACATCGCGGGACGTGTCCGGATCAAGTCTGGCGGGCTGGAATCTTGACCCTGACCTACAAAATACCGTATAGTGTGTATGTATGTAAAATACCATATACATACAGTATGTGTATATATATATATATTTATATGTATACATGCGTGCTAATATGCCTGCGTGTGTGTGTGTGTGTCGACCAATGTTTCCAAGGGAACTAATCTAGCTATTCTTGCTACTTGATTGTACAGAAACTCAGCAGGGGGGCAGTGAATCTCATTCCATCCACTGCCCAATGAAGACGGTGGTTTGAGATTGTGAAGCGAGAACGGACGCCTTCTTGTGCACCTGCAAATTTTTAATATACTTTAAAGAGCTAATGCATCTTGTTGAGACATTCAAGTGAGCGGACTCTTCACTTCATACAGTTGCGTCAAGTCAAGTGCTACGTATTCACCTTCTTGTGTACCTGCAAATTTTTAAAATACTTTAAAGAGCTAATGCATCTTGTTGAAACATTCAAGTGAGCGAACTCTTCACTTCATACAGTTGCGTCAAGTCAAGTGACCTAAAGGGCTAATGATCCCCGCGAACAGCTTGAAATCGCGCTCCGCGGAGCAACCTTCTCAAGTGTGATCAGCTAAGCTCAAGTCAACCCGAAGCTCGACGTTTGTAAACCTAGATTTTATGATGGTCTGTTGACCTTCGTCAAATACGTGGGACCAGGATGCACGTGAGACCCAACAGGTGATTAAAGGCCATTTGATCCACGTGTCAGACCCCGGATGTTTCACCAACCTGGATGAAAGTGTCCTTTTGGCACCAAGCCTACGCCTCGTAGTGGCCCGCTTCGCACCACTGACTCTGTCAGAGAAGGACGGTATATATATATATATATTCCACGATTTCTCACTTGCGACTTGGGTGAATGTGAAAAACATCTCCACCTGCCAAGCTTGCTGCCTCTTCAAGGCAAACGTGCAAACAACCCTCACCTTTGGGAAGCGGCGGCTGCAGTGGCACATGCTTGGGCAAACCGATGGACAGCCTAGGCCAAGCGAACGACCACACTCCATGGTGCACCCGAAGAAAAACACCGAGACTGGTTTGGTGCAAACGAACGCCCCGCGTTGTGGTTATCCTTTCAATCATCCACAAGAACCATGTTCATTGTTTGCTGATGTTTGTACTTTATTGGTATTCTTCATTCACATCGTTCGCCCCTTCTCCTTTCATCCTGGGCATCCCCCTCCTCCTTCCCACCATCGCATCATGGCCCTCCATCATCATCTACGATGAAGTGAGGCCCTCGGCCTAAGGATACATATTGACACTGGGCCTAAGAAGCGCACCGCAGATACTGACGCACCAAAGTCACTACCCAACCAAATAATTGATGTTGCAACACTGTTGCGTGCATGTTTTTCAATTTGTTGTGGCCGTTTTGGGCAATGAGTCAAGATCGAGTCGTTCCAGTTCCAATGGCACGGCTTACGCTCGCGGAACATTCACAACAATAATCATGTTCTTTAAACCTAAAGCCAAGTTGAGGGGCTGTGGGCCCTATGGAATATGTCCAGCCGGCCTGCGTTCAAAAAAGAAACATGTATACAGTATATAGATTTATCGAGAGAAAACATATAACTCTCCCCCATGAACAGCTCATCGGGAGCCGATGGGCTGTATGTTTTAGGACTCATCAGGATCGATCTGATTCTTGTGACTCGGAACTGTTCAGACTTCTCCACTGATTGGAGGCAATCCTTTCTGCATGCTGCCTACTTATCATGTTCCACACCTGTTTTACAAGTCACCTGAGCACGTGATGTGCTGTGGATTTGTGGTTCAGTATATAGGGTCGGTCCATCCCACTGTACGTGGTCAACAAGGCCCCCTCGCTCACTAAAGCTTAAGGAAGTTTGGAAACTTGCTCTGATTGTTGCATAATACTGATCAACATAACTAGCTGGTCCACTTCGGCCAAGCAGCTGCCCAGCCTTTAGCGCTGGGGGCGACAATGCCAAGGGCCGCGCCACCGTCGGGGGCGCCGGCGGCAGTGGCAAGTGCCCGCCCTTGGCCTCCACTCTGCATGGGGCACACTCTGCTAGCACAGCCCAACACATCCATGCCCAACCATCACAAACAGAAACCAGATGAAACATGATGAAACCAGTATCCCAAATCCTGTGCGTCGCCTTGGGTTCCATGAGCTCATCGAATCTAGAAAAAGGGCAAAAACCGCTCAAAAGGCGAGAGAGCTTGCAAGGTGGTTGCATACAAGTATCATGAGATCTCTGCTCACTCCTCCAGGTAGAGGAAAACGACAACCCTCAGACTCCTCAAACTGAAAAAATTGGACAAAAGGACATGCCGTCGTCCTAAAAAATGGGTCCCAATGGTCCCCAAACCAGGTGCGCTTCTCCCTGGTTCGCCCCTGCCACCCGGCCCAGGTGCCGGGACCAGGGCCGCATTCCTCAGCTGAAAGTCCTCCCAGCCCGGAGGCGGCGGAGGTGATGACGGACTGGCCTGCAGCGAGCCCCTCTCACGTGGGGGAAATGGACCCTGAGAGAGGGAGGAAATGGACGCTCCAAGTACCTGTCTATCCTTTCTGAGGTGTAGAGGAGGGTCCAAAGACCTGAAGAGGCACTTGGAGGTCTGGGGACTGGAACACATCCTCACGCGAAACGTGGGATTCTGCAGCCTCCATGACAGGTCGGTTCGAGAACCTGATGTGACTGGAGCACTTGAAAAGCAACTCTCTGCGGTTGAAGGGTCTTCAATAATTATGTGTAGACACCAAACCCTCCCAAAACCTTTTTTTCACCTGACCTGAGGGCTCGCACTCCACCAACTCTGCCCAATCGCCTTGCTCTGGATCGCCCCATGCGCTGCCGGCGACGATGCTGCCGAGGCGGCGGGCCCGGGCGGCCGAGGCGGTGGCGGCGGCAGCTGGTGCCGCTGAGGCGGCCGCGGCGGCGGGGGCGGCGGCGCCTTCTCCGTGGCGCTCGGCGAGAAGGTGACCGGCGTCAAGGCAAAGTCGTGGGCCCAATCGTTGAAGGCCTTGATCCGCAACGGGTCGCCGGGAAAATCGATGGAAGGACGGGAAAAGGAGTGGGCGGCGGCAAAGAAAATCAAACAAATTCAACTTCTTCCACCGGTGTTCCATCGACTTCTGGCGCTTCACCACGAGTTCAACCCCCAGCCTGGTCCACTCGGACGTCAATGCGCTCGGCATTCTCCATGCGCGGCGGGAGCGAGATGACCGAGGCCTGATGCACAGGGCGGGCCGAGGAAGCTCCGGGGGAGGAGGAGCGGAGGGATCCGGTCGTGGATGACAAATGGGCACCAAAGGGTTTTCTCTGCATGGCTTATGGCTTCCGGCTTGCGATATCCTCGTGTGGGGAATATCATATAGAACTGCACCTGGCCTTGCTTCGATATGCCCACACTCAAGGATTCACAGTGGCTAGTAGTTCCTGCCACAGGGTTTGGAAGATCAATCGCACTGCTAGATTCACATGGAATAGGCCTTCTGAAGACCATTCTCAGAAGTACAAAGTATATGAATGATCAGCCGTCAACAGTATATTGATGGACCAGGTGGGTGCAGGTTTCAGTCTGCTTGGGTGGACTGGTGCGCAAGTCCCCATGCGAATCGAATCTGCACCAAACCCCAACAAGAAGTCCTCCACACAAACCGTGGAGACTTTATTCCATTTGGGGGGCATGGACACCCGCAGAGACGGCTTCTTCTTCTACCAGGATCTGAACAAGGCATATCTCATGTTGAGTGAATGGCAAGACTGGATAGAAAGAAGCAGGCCAGTGACAGAGCCAATTATTAAAGCGACCACCACGGGAACTACAGAGTAAATTCGTTCTATGTGGCTACAACCTCCTTCTCTTGCTTCACTTCGTCTTCCACCACCATGCCATGGCACCGTCTCCGGCGTCGGCCGCTTGGGCGGCGGCGGCTGGGGCGCCATGAGCGCCAGGCCGCCCGGCGCCGTCTGCAGCGACGTGCGCTTCGGGGGAGGCGGGGGCGGCGGCGCCGTCTGGCCCTCGGGGAGCTCGGCGATCATGCCGGGCAAGCCAGAGCGGATGGACTCGCGCAACTCTTCGGCAAAGGCCTGGATGGATGCATGGATGCATTCGGTGGGCGTCAAGGGCCCTTTGCCCGCGAGCAGAGTGTTCTCTGCTGATTTGGACTCTCGCTTGACCCAATTTGATGATGTTGAGGGATTGCCAAGAATACCCGACAGCCAAAGGCCCTGTTGTCTCCCTTCTGGACAACCACCACCAGCAAAGGGAGGTTTTGAATGAAGGTACATTAAACCCACGTGCCGAAATGTTGTTGGGCCAGAATAGAGGCACAGGTGCAGGTACAGTCCAGTAATTACTGAAGCTCAAAGAATCAACACAATCTGGTGGACAACCAGGGTGCGTCCGCTCTTTGGACACCCAGCGGTGGTCACTGGATCCAATGGACCGACCGAAAAACCACACGGCCCGAGCTTCTCCGAGCCATACGCTCCGAGCCTCTCCGGACGAAACCTGCCGGTCTCAACGGCTCCGACCTGAAAGTACTCATCCTTCTCCACCGTGGGCTTCGGCCAGCTGTACCGGTGGGGGATGGTGGGCGTGGAGGCCTCGTGCACGGTATCGTCGAAGAACACGGGTCCGGTCCGACTCGAGAGAACACCCACCAATTCAATTCCCAGTGAGTCTACGTTCCTTGGCCCACAGGCCCCAGTTTCCAACTGCCAGGTCTTCTCACTGCGTGGACCAACACGTGGGAGAAAAAGGAACGGGGGAGAGCCAACGGCTGACCGGGCGTGGACGGACCGGGCCTTGGTTTGCCCAAGGCTGAAGGGCTGTCCGGCAATCTTCGCTGCGTGCTGCTGCAGAGTGGACTTGGCGAGCCTCGGACGGCGGAAACCGGATGAGTGGACCGTTGGATCCGTTGGACCCGTTGGATCGAGTTCAACGGCCATGTAGACCTCATTCGGCCACTGAGCACAAGAAGCCAGCGGCTGGGTGAAAACTCTTGCCGCACCCACTCACTTGGCATGAAAGGTTTGCTGTTGTCCAGGTTGTCCAGTGTTCTTTGGTGGCATCACGGCACGTTCTTCAAACGAAGTACGTCGTTTTCGACCATGGAAGGATGACTCAAGTGCTTCCCCCCGTGGGCCGGGGAAGAAGGCGCTCGCGTCCCCAGATGTCCCAAGAGGTCGGGAGTCACGCCCTGCGCAGGGCAGCGACGCCCTGCTTAGGCCTATTGCCATTGCGGCTTGTTCTCCCCCCGGCCTGCACCAGGGATGATTTTTCTGTAAGAAGTGGAACACACCGAATTGCTTTTGCCACGTACATCCATTTACAATCTTTTTAATTGCATCAGAGACTTGGGAATGGGGATTGTGCAGCTCGACCAGCCTCAAGCATAACTAGTTTTCCGAACAATCCTTAGCAACTCCCATGCGAAATTGGCTGCATCTGCTGAGCCACCCCACGTCGTCTTCTACTACTCAGCTGAGCAACTCATTGGCCCAGTCCCAAAAATGCTCTTCCGCATCACGCTTCGTCCGCACCTGACGACAAAAGCGAATTGGGATGTGTAACTGTCAGGCCCAAGTGCACAGACTGGAAAGACCTCTGGGTCAGCAGGTCGGTCACGAAACCTCTCGCAAGTCGACCCGCTAGAAGAGTTGGAGCTCTGCAGCTGGAATACCCCCCTCGGCTCCAGGAGTGGACACCTCTGATGCTGAGACCGTTGGGGTTTCCCAACGGTCTCACGGAATCTGACCTTTTCACACTGATGCGCGACCAGACCGACATGTCACATGGCCTCTGTCTACAACTATAACTGCCTTTTCAAATCCAAGGGAGGGCACGCCGTCGGACTTCCCGTCACACCCCGGTCGTCGCCTCCGGCACCTTTGGCTGCGGTGGTACCTTGGGCCCCTCCTCCCAGGCTGCGCCGTCCTTGCGGGGCTCTGGGTGCTCCGGCTCCAAGCCAACCTTCCGCCAGCGAAAATGCCGTCGACGGCCCCCAATGGCCCCAGGTGGACATGTTGGGGTGAGGCCCAAAAATCCTCACCCAAAGCCTCGAAACAGAAAACGCGCATCTGAGAACATCTCTGGGGATGTGGAGGGCAACGATGAAGAATTGTTCTTGTCTTATGGGATGGATTTGTTCGATTGCTGTGGGGGTTGGGGATCACCGATCACCTCTTTGGAACCCCTGGGATCAATGGAAACACTACATCCTCCTTGACGAACAACGCTGCTCCTTCGATTCGAGACGTTCCACAGACATGCAAAGACTAACAAAAAGAAGCACTCGCGAATCGCATCCACTCATGTTGATCTTGCCATCATGCTTGCTCCCTCCCACACTGGATTCTTCTACAGTTCTCGTATTGAATCTTTTGGACCACAGCCACGCGCACGAAAAAATGCCAACTGCGCCACTATGTGTGGTGGCCTTGGCCGGCTTCTTCTTGAGTGCCTCCATAGCATCCTTGACACGTTGGCAGGACACCTGTGGCTTGAGGCTCACATTGCCCACGTAGGCCTCGATCGCCGCTGGATCGCGTCGGAAATCGGACGGAAGCTCTTCGAAGCAGCGACCTGGACCTTCCGTGTGGAGTGGAAGGTGCTGTTCACTTGAGGCTGGGGAAGAAGGGCCGGATGTGATGGGACGCCTGCCCGAGCTACAGCATGAAACTGGTAGCAAAGCGTGGACTGGGTCGAAGAGAACTCCAGCCCAAAGAGTTAGCACATCCTCCTGGTCCGGTTGGAAGCCTGTAGTCATCTGCAGTCTTAAACTCATCCCTTAATTAAGCACCTGACACATGCCTTGGAGTCCCCCAACCATCCTCTGGCGCCTGCCACCCGATGCACACGCACACGATGGCCATGGCCAGCCCTGCGAGCGCTGTGCCAAGCACAATGCCGCCATCAGCCGCAGGGGCCGGGGCTGCAACTGGGAGGGTGGTCGCCATCATACGCGTAGAGGTCACCTAGTGATCTTAGGCGTCGGCTTTTGGACGACTAGGGCGGTACCGGGTTGCCAAGCCGATGGAAATGTCTTAAGTTAGGGCTTGAGGTGTTCAGGTGTGAGGTATACAAAATGAAGTGTGGATACATGACAATTGAAAGAGTAAGGCCACTGCTGACTTTCATGTCATCCAGCAGCTACACAGCATCCGACGGATACGGAAACTCTGACCACCGAGGCGCCCTCCTCTCGACTGCATAACCGGGACCTGGTATAGCATTCAATCGCATGTCAATCCGTGCCATGTCCATCCTTTCCCTTCGCAATCTCAAACGCAAAGCAGTGTCAAACAAACACTTCGCCACCAAGGTTCCCCCCAATAACTCAAACCTTCATCAAGCATCCAATCCCACACAGACCCAAATCCGCCAAGTCGCCGTGGTGCTTGTCACCGTACTGTAGAGTGGCACCAGCACATAGACCGCTGCATAGCTGCCGCCTCCGGTCGACGCCCAGCACTCCATCGAAGCGGCATTGTAGGTCGCCGGCAGCAGGCGGCTCACGCCGTCCGTGGTCCAGGTCTCCGCAGGTCGACCGGTGAAATGAAACGATGAAAAAAACAAAGACAGTGACGGGATGTGCCGGGTTTGGTGAGGCGGCAGTTTGGGTGCCCTTCCCGATTGGTGGCGCCCTTCGGAAAAAGCAGACCCCCCTCCCAAAGAAAAGGACCCTGCAATCCCTACAAGATACTGTATTTCAAATTGTTATTTGCAAGATCTGCTGGCCACTTTGCACTAGGGGGGTGGCGTCTGAGGCTTCTTGCTTGAGTTGTGGTTTTCTGGTGGCCACACCAGGAAACCATGGCAGCATCCGCCAGGGCATCCGGCCATGCAGGAATGGTCCACAAAAGTGCAAGCACCTTCAGTCACACACGTGCTAAATAAGGGACGCTTAAAGCTACGGATCAGGAGTAAATGGCACGACGGAACAACCCCTCAGCCAAAGGCGCTTTTGTGAGATGGAGCTCCACGCAAACCAATTGGCCAAAATTGTGACAAATGCTCTGGAAGCATAGCTCAACATCTTCCATCCCTGCCTGAAGCTGCAGTGCCGTGTTCTGCTCATCCAGCCTTACGCACATGGGCTCATAGATGTAGCCCTCCGGCGGATTCTCCGGCTGAGCATTCCTGCACCCATGCACGACATCCAACCATGTGTATAGGCTCATGGTGGAGGCAAGGATGCTGATTGATTTTCTCGCGGGAGGCTTGAAGTTCCATGATGTTGCGCTAAAGTCACTCGAGCGCCCCAAGATCCCAACCCCTGCTCGCCCCGAGATCCCAACTCAAGCCGTACGTCCGTTACGTCCAAGCTCTTCTCATATGTCGCAGCCGAGATGCAGCTGAAGATTCAGCACGATGGGGGGATCCAGGTCAGATCGCACCAACAAATCATTGCACTTCTTGATCTCCAGGGTGCTGACCGTGGCGCTGCTGGCCACAAATTGGTTGCTCCCCAAGCCTCGAGCGACGTGCGTGTCGCTTCCCTTATTCTTCAGTGTCCTCTGTGTGCGTGTGTGTGTGTGTGTCGCCTGGCTCTCATGGCTATCATGGCTAACAGCTGGGCACTGCTAGGCGCTGCTGCATTTCACTCACACATCCACCGAGAGCCACAAGGTCCCAAAAAAATATCTTGCCCACTAAAAACTGGCCAAGTTTCGCTTCAGTTCACACATGGCCAGGATTTCTGAGCCGGGGGTTGTCTACAGTGGATTCCTCCTTCTTCGACGCGAGTGGTCTGGAGTCTGGATGCGTCCCAGGCACTGTTGTCCAGATAGTTGAAGGGATTACCTTGCGGCGTGCTGAAAGGCGTGCACTGGATGATCAGTTCTCTTCCAAAAGAGCTTCATATAAGCCTCTGAAAGAGCCATTGAAAGGAAAGAACCGATCCAGTAGCTGGAAGAGCCCTTCAACTGCGAAAAATCCAATTCTTTGCACAGCTACCATGGCCGTGAAGCGATCAAGTCCACCATGGCTTTAACTTGCTGTGGCTTACGATGGCTTACGCCACACGACCTCCACGACGCAGAGGCGAGCGGGAACAGGTGCCCGGTGGCTGATGGAAAACCCTCCAACCACCTGGGACTTTCGGGAAAAGCACGGCAACCATATGATGCAGTAAAATGCATATGTGCACGCACAAAAGATATTATATATATATACACATGTATATATTGTATGAAATATCGTATGATCTCTCCCTTTTGCTTCCAAGAGTTCCCTCACTCACTCTTCGCCCCAGTGGCTGGCCACAAAGTTGGTGTTCTGCACGGCCACGGAGTCACACGCATTCTCTTGCAGTCGTCGGCCCAATACCGAGCCGGGAACCTGCCGGTGAAACCGTTCGAACGCGCAGTCCCACCCAGCCAAAACCCGGTGGATCTGGCCACGAAGAAGCACCGTCCAGTACGGGGGAGGACTTGAACAACCGAGTTCCACCGAGCCTGCATGTGGCGGCATGATCTTCCTTCCAAAGATCTGCGGGTGTCTCTGTCGCGGGGTCAGGTCTACGACATAAGGCATGTGAGGTCAGCGGGGCTCAGTGAATCGGACACACATGGGATGTGAAAAGACCATCATGGGCATCTGCCTTTCTGAAAGAAAAGCTGGTGTGAAGCTCTGTTACTGTGGATTGGAGTTGGGAATAACTGGGATTCGAGAATTGAGCCAGAAGTGTAGTGAGTGAGGCAGAAAGAAGTGGACACCCAGCGGCCCAGCAGGCCAAAATCCGTCCATGATGTCGACTTCCAGGGTCACATCATCTCCAACCCTTGGGCGCGTTGGCGCGGCGCCCACGCGCGGGCCGCGCGCGACGCTGTGCAAGCCCTGTGGCCAACGCTTTCGTGCCAACTACGCAGCGTGCGCCTGGGAGTTCTTCGAACTCACCCCAGATGCAATGGCCGCATTCGCATTCTCCTTGACCACCCCGATCTCCTGAAATCGTTGGGATATTTGGGGGATCACAAGTGCCCAACATGGATGGTTTGACCCAAGCAATTCTATTGACACTGATCATTGATCTACTTTTCCTGCTGAGCCCCTCCCACCCCCACCAAAGAAAAACAGCCAAAAAGTGGTGAACGAGAACCCCCGTGGTCGCAAAACTCCGTCTTCAAAAACAGACCATAACTTGGCCAACCCCAGTCGCCCTTGCTTGGGATGGGTTGTAGTTGGTGGATGAGGTTCCTACAAGCCAAAGGTAGGTGTATATATATATATATACAGTATGTCCTGTGTCATGACGAACTATATCATTCAAAGATAGTAACACCAACATCCATGAACCAGCTGAAACCAGCTGAACCAAGCGTCTGTGCCCTTGCCACCCTCCACTGTGGAGATTTGTGAGGTCGCGCCCGCGGGCAGCTGCTGCAGCAGCGCGCTGCCCAGCTTCGAGAACTCGGGGTCCGCGGCCGTTGTGTGTGTAGCACCCCCCCAGGTCGGTCGCCAGGTCGGTCGCATTAATACATACACTGTATCAATATAATTACACACCCATTTGACCTCTGTTTTGATAGGAAAAGACCTTATTTTGAGTGCTTGGTGGTCCAAAATAGAGGTCATTCAGGTTCCAGGTATATATATATATATATAATACCCTCGAAGTCCAGGACATCGACGATCTTTGCACCGACGCCTTCGGTTCCCGGAAGTTCCTCTTCAGGTCGGGGGCACTGACTGGCTTAGCCGACTAGACTCCAGGGTGTGTTTACACACACCTCCGAACTGTACTTAATGGCATATAGATGCATCTTGCGATATACTTAGTACAGTATCCGTTTTCTTCTGGTTGCAACCTACAAACTGTAGGATTGATTTTCGTCGATGGAGCTTTCGCGAAAGAAAACATCGAAAACCTTTGACGTCCTGGCTTCGGCCCACCGGAACGCGGGGCAACCCTGTACGTCGAATCCATTGGCATGTTCGGTTCTTCTTCAGCTGACGCTCGGAGCTGCAGCTCTCGCGGCTGCATCAAGCGACTCTGGTGACCCCGGCTTCCCGACCCCGGTCGACCGAGGGGCCAGCACCCGCAATTTGCTCACGCGAGCGCCCTTGGCCACGTTGGAATCGCTGCCGCCGTCGGCAAAGCTGTTGCCCACCGAGCTGGTCGCTTTGAGCAGCGAGGTCCCGGCGGCTGGGTCGACACCTGGGACGAGACGACTCAGGAAGAGCGGAGTGGAGTCAAACGCGTATCTCCGCCAAATGTGTCTGGGAAGTGTGGTGGAGGCCAGATGTGTCTGGGTGGAAGCTGCGTTCCGCGGGCGTTTTCCGCGTAAGACGCGTTCCGACGCGTTCCGCTGACTATCCGCGACGATCCCCATGTCATGCACCCATCAAGACGCATCTGCCCAGTTCGAGATCAAAAGCCATCCCGCTTAAAGTGAGTGCGGGGAATGGTTTCTGAAGCTAAAACATCCCCTCAACTGATGCCCTCATTGGCCATGGCGCCTTGCGAATCCAAAGCGGCCTGGCGGCCGGCGGAGGAGCCACTCCTACGGACCGTTCCTCAGTGGCTCTACCACCGCCCTCTTGGGTCATTTGGAGAAGATGTGCAAACACCTTGCAGCTCCAACCCACAAGGAGAGTATTGATCCACAAGCATATGATAGCACATGGTCACTAGTCTGTCAACCATCACCAGCCCTGCAAACCACACCCACTGCAACTCTCCTTCCCCCCTCTCCCTTGGTCTTCCTCCCTCCCTCACTGCCCTCCGCGCGCACCGTCAGCACTGTATCCAGCGCGCCCGCCGCCCGCTCGGCCACCGCCGGCGAGGCGGCGGAGCCGCCGCTGCCCTCGCTGGACAGCATGTTGGCGGCCACTTCGCCGAACTTGCTGAGGCCTCGGGCGACCGAAGGGAGGAACCGCCAGGCCAGAGGAAGGTGAGGAGACTTAGTTGAGAAAGAAGGTCTTTCGGACCGCCCAGCCGCTGTCTGAGGAGGCGCCCACCACGTTCGCTGCGGAGTCCAGGGCCTCGCAAAGAAGCGGTGGCGACGGTGGCGATTCAAAGGTGCCCAACGCCAAGGTGGAAAGAATATATCATCCACCTATCTGTTTTCTTACTTTAGGGGTTTTGCAGGTTCTGATAAATCTGTTTGTTAGATGTTCATCTTGAGTTCCCAAGACATCTTTGGAAGTGTTCATAACATCTTTCACATACATACTGGCGAGCGCTGTAGTGCTGTGAATGGGGTCCGCGTCTCGTGCTGTGAATGGTTGCCATCTTCTCTAAATCACCTGTAGGCTTGCAGGGCGGCATGCAGAAACTCCTTGCTTGACGAAGCCTCACCTCATGCTCAGGCCCCTTCTGAAAGCCTCCCATGGGGAATACGTCACCAAGCTCACCACACCCCTGGTTCATCGCCAGGACAAACTCATCAGCCTACTCATGGTAAGTTTTGCGTTTTCAACTTGTTTGCAGGGGTGGTAGGTGGGTAGATTCTGCGTAGGGGGCTGAAATGCGGCAAGGCTCTAGCTTGTCTATTTCAAGCTGGAAGACCCCACGCACGGTCAGCTCAGGATGATCTACAAGGTTTTCCACCATTCCGTGGCCCTGGCAAGGAAGCAGGTGTTTGGGAAAGGATGGGCCTCCAATCCCCAAGCCCCGGTGCTGCGTGGACCTCCATTTTCTTCTCTGTGGCCGCAGCGAGCTCGGCCGTGTCGTTGCTGGCCTCGTTGTGTCGCGGCCGTGCGGCCAGCAAGTCGTGGCGGGAAGACACCCTGAGTGTTGACTTCAGAAATCCTACACCACCCCACAATGTAGACTCTTGCTTGATCAATTACAAAAAATAAGAAAAATCCACCCATGAAAAGGTTTTACTTTTACTATCCAAATGTGTTCCTAAATCAAGAGTCTACATTACCGCAGCCTCGCGGGTTGGTGCTCGTTTCAGGTGCAGGAGAACCCTTCCCGCAACTGCGGGCTGGTGGAACTGATGGTTTCGTTTGGCAGAAGGTTAGCAGTTTGACTCTGGCAAGCTGTAGTAGCCGACTCCCGATTTCGCCAGCTGCCACCAAATCAATAAATGCAGGAAGACACCAGGCAAAATGGCCTGGTGTCTTAGGTTGGAGGTCTCAAGGTTGTAATCGATTCATCCTCGATGACAATTCCCTTGAAATGCCCTTGTGGAACAAGGAGAGCCCAGGGTGACCGAACATGCAAGAGGGTGACATCACCCAAAGCATGTCGCAAAGACTTCAAGTATTGGGCAAACATGGGCACTACACCTTCAAACAAAATACGACGCCTCCGACACCCCAATAAAACCCAAAGGCCCAAGGCAGTGCTTGTTGGGTTTGGGGTGCCATGATCCACTGGAGTCTACCTTTCCAGTGGTCCCCCCCTTTGTTCGGGGCATGTCCATCTCCACGGCCCCCACGTTTTTCCATCCTTCTTCTCAGCAGCTATCGCCACGGAGGAGAGGGAGTCCAAAGCCCCCAAGATCACGCTCTCGTCGCCACTGCTCATGGCCGTGTCCAGCGAGGCCAACGCCAGATCCGGGCTCACACCGCCTCAGAGGCTCCGCTTCACTGCTCCGCTGGACCTTTTTGTTCAAAAGCAGGTGGATGGGGTTTGAGGGGGGTCTGAAAGTTCCACCTGCAACCTCCTTCCTCCTGACTGACCTCAAGAGAGGTCGCGGTGGATCTGTCTGAGCAGGCCTCTTAGTTGAGGAGAACGAAGCTCCTTGCCAAGACCTGTGAAGAATTCACCCTCTCTCTAGTGCCAAGTTGGTGGCACTTCCTTCCCTCACGAGATTCGCATGTTCATTCTCCCGAACTTTTGAGAACAACGACCCGGCGGCCCATCGAATCCCATGGCACCAAGTGGCCAGGAGGCGCTTCTACCAAGGGCCCCGGAGCATAGGAGACACTGACCGCTCCTGAGGACTTCGTCCAGAACAGGACTTCGTCCAGAACAGCGACATCCAACCCAACACACAGCAGGGGGAGGACGGGTGGAATTCTTAAACACCCAAAGAGTTTGAAGACCAGCCGCCTTGGAGGTTGTATACACATGTATACACTATAGATCTGCATAGGGTCGCCTCACATGATTTGAGACATACGTGACGCTCTTGTGATCTCTTGGTCGTTCTAGTCTGGGACCCAACCTTGCGCCAGCCAGGGTGGGCCCGAGATGACGCAATAGTGAATGGGTCCCCATGTGCTGCACTTGTTGGAGCCATTGACTGGAGACCTATCGTAGAGCAGCCGACCTGCAACATGTCCGACATTACGCCCAACGGCTTTCCTGTCTCAAGCGATCGTGATCCGGCGCACCCTCCAAGCCCACAACCGAGGCGTACGCCCCGGACGTACGCACCGAGGCCTACGCCGAGAGCATGAGTCCCATCTGGGACGATTCTTCACGATGACCCAACACCGCGAGACCCAACAGCTAGTTTCTACGCAGTCCCAGGCCCCGCGACAGCAGCGGCGGATATCCGGTCCTAGATGATCTCGCGCCACGACGGCCATGACATAGGCGCCCACTGCGACCTATGTCAAACATCGGCAGGCGTGGTCTCTTTCGCCTTTAGCCAGGCTTGGCTTCGGCATGGCCAGACTAGGTCTACGTGGTACGAACAGACCAAGAAGCTTGGCCCCGGAGGCCGTGGCCATCCTGCACCAGTCACTCCTTCGAAAAGTCTCAAGCCTGGAGTGCCTCTAAGATCCAACGGTGAGACCTATGTATATACTAAGTATATTTAATATAATACAATATCATATCATGAGATAATATAGTATAGTCCATATAGTATAGAATAATACAATATAATATAATATAATATAGTAAAAATTAATAAAATATAATATAAATACAACATATACCATATATTATATACTGTATAAATATGCGATACATTGATCATAAATGACACATATCATATGTATACATATATATATATACACAATAAAGGCCTATAGTTCTGCGCAAATGATGCCAACAAGGAAAGGAGATGAAAGGAGACACCCTAATCGATGCTGATGATATCCTTACGGCTCACTCGTTCCAGCCCACTTGCAACCAGGGAGCGGAGACATCCCACTGCGCCGCCTGCGGGTCAGAGACATTCTGCAGGAAGGAGCCACCCAGCGCTGACCAGTAGAAGGGGCTGGTGACGTTGGTCCAATCCTTGAAAGATGCCGTGCCGGCTCAGCCATTCGTCCCGCCGAGGTCACGTGCCCCAGCGCCAACTGGTGGAGGGTGCCCAAGAAGCCCTTCCAGCTATGGACTGGGGGCGTTGGTAGATAGGGTGCGGATTACAGAAATCAAGTGTAGAACCCACATCTGGGGTGCCTCATCTGAGAATCCGTTTGCACCAGGGTTGCCTGGTTTGTAGAATTCCATCCACCCCACGGTCCTTTTTGGGAGATGCCAGGCCCAACCATCAAATTCCCAATTCCGTTGTTGAGCCGTTGAGACTCGTGTCGACTTGTGTTGACTGACAGTTCCATACAGTTTCCATCCTAACTTGTCAACAAAAAACACCGTTTTTGGATGCACCGCCCTTCAAAACAAACCTCCATCGGTTTGTTATGCCAAGGATCCACCGTGGGCGTTTCAAAGGTGGCGCCCAACAGGATGCCTCGAAGCCCACGCGATTCGACGAATGAGGGCGTCCCCATCATTGTCGCGTCCCCGTCCATGTGACCGCATACAATTCCCGTCAGGAACAGGCCCCGCCTCCATTCCCGTCAGAAGTCATGGTGGTATTCCTGGGACAGCGTTTTGGCGGTCAGGCATCGGCATAGAGTATATACATATATGCAAACATCCCAAGTGCCTACATAATTTACACAATATATGCGTTTCCTCATTTTTACGTGCCTCTTCTCTCAACTCAGGTTTTAATGAAAATAAACAGCTTTATGGGCTACATCACATGCAGTTGCTATGTATCTAATTATATGTTTTTTTCAAATTCTATCTTCATTGTCACATCCTGAGTCATTGCTTCCTTGTGTTTGTAGGGGGGTCCTTCTTGTTCGGAGGTCTTTTGGTGCCCGTCCGCATCTTAAGTCGGAGCACGGAACAACTAGGTTGACTCCGTCATGCAACTCTTCGGTGAATGTCCGTAGTTTGACGTGCACGGACGCCGTTGCTTGTCGTTGATCCAAGCATCTGAGTGAATGGAAGGAGGTAGAAGGCATAGGTAAGGCTCTCCACCTGCTTGCAGGCTCGGCCCAGTCTAGTCACTCAGTGGCCGTGGAAAACTTCAAAGCTGAAAATGAGCACAAGAGGTATCTGGTTAGCATCCCGACAAAGCCAAGGTGCCATTGTGCCGCGGAAAACGCGGCCTAGCCGAAAGCCCCAAACTTCGTTTCAACGACACCCCCGGGGGTGAATAAGCATGCTCCTCCCTCATAAGCTCCAATCCGCTTCATTGGTCCTGCAGCCACCACACCTGATATCCGCTCCATCTCACCAGCGCGCGCCTGCTCATCGTACCACGCGAAGGTGGTGCCGGAGAAGGCGTCCGTCACCGCATAGCCCGCCACCGGCGACACCGTGACCAGGCCACCCGAGGGCGGGCCATCTGCAAGGAACCTCGTCTGGCTGGTGGTTTCAACTCAAATTAAAAAAGTATAAAATATCACACCTACCGACTGTATTACTGTAGTTGCACAGGCCCCAAATACCAACTAACTACAGCACCTCTAAAAGCACAGGCAAACAAGCGGAAATGGCTGAACCCCAGACTAGCTTTTCAATTTGTCCGTGGATTTGAAACCATCATCTACACCCGTCCAAACCTTCCCAGGTCAGCTTGGACATATAGAAAACAAAACAAGGAGAAGGTCCGAGAGAGAACCTGTTTGCAGTCTCGGATTTTTCCGCCAAAGGCACATGTCACTCTTCACCGTCTTGGCGCCTTGGGCCTCTGCCTGTATCAAGCTTTCCAGGTTTCCACTCTCCAAAGCAGCCATCTCCTCCTCCCACACGCAAGGGTCTGGTAAAAACATTGGGCATTTTACGATGATTCAGGTTTGCCACCACTTCAGGCACACTGGACTTCCTGGAAGTAGCATTCAGTGCATGCCGGCAAGCCTAAGGCACTGATGGCACACATCCACCATTGTGGTAGGGAGACCATTCACCTACTATCTTGTTGTAAGGCCTGCTTGGCAAAGATGTTTCCTTGCTTGTATTAGACCCCTGAACAGACCCAGCTGCGGCATCGAAAGTACGTCACCCAGCTTTGGCTGTCCTGGCTGGAAGCTTGCAGCACGGCATAAGCATATCTCCGGCCTGGAACCACCCCCGAGCAAATTATGGCTGGGATGTTGAACAGGGGTGTGTGTGTGTGTGTGCCGCACTCCGTGTCCAGGAGTTTAAATGTTGAATTTAAGCTACACTATCTGCAGGGGGCCATCCCTCTCACCAGTGCCGAAGAGGCCACTGGGCTGTAAACGTGCCTGCAGTTCTAATTAGGGTAACGGAAGGAAATGGTACACTTGTGTGTCGGTACCTTTTCTTCTGTTGTCCCTTCTCTGGTCTACTCTACCCGGGCGGCCTAAGACTAAAGTCCCGCTCCCCAACTATTGCACATAATTAAGGACCGCTAAGTATTCAGTAACTAGAAAGGAACAAGTTGTTGAACATTTCAGCTGCGCGGATTTTGCACCTTTCCGTTCCCACATTCATTTCCTCATGGATTCTGATACTGAATGAACCTGTGACTAAGTGTGTATCGCTGTGTTTTCCCACTTGGGATCACTTCGGTGCACAGTGTGATCCCCCGCAAGGGGGCGCCGAAGCCACCGTGGATTATGGATTGTGTTTCACTCATGAATCAACTGAACCATATGCCGCCGGGCTCACGGAATAAGTGCCGCCGGGCTTACGGAGAATGAACCCCGACCCCCACACCCATACCCACCCCTCCCCTCTTTCCTTCTTGCGGTTTCTTCGTTTGCTAGGTGTTTCTTCAGGCTTGTTGGGTTGTTCTTGAGGCTCGTTTCCCTGCCCCTCGGCTTCGCACCTTTTTTGCTACACCTACCTTTCTCTCTTACCCTCTTCGCTTTATCTTTCTGTTTTCTTTTCTTGCTAAGGCTTGTTAGGTGGCTATTCAGGTTTGACTCCGCAATTTGCCGCAGGCAGACATGCACGGCACTACCCCTATCTTTTTTCTTGCCCTTTTGGCTTTGCTCTTCCTGTCTTTCTTCTCTCTCTTTTCTAAGGCTTCTTAGGTGGCTACTCAGGCTCTACGCCCGTAATTTGCCGCACGCGCGGCAGACATGCATGCCTCTACACCTATCTTTCTCTTTTGCCCTCTCTGGCTTGCTCTTGTTCGTTTTCTTTCTTTCTAAGGCTTGTTAGAAGGTGACTATTTAGGGGCGAGCGCCGCACTGCGGCACCTTGTGTGTGCCGCACTCCGTGTCCAGGAGTTCAAACTTTTTAATAAATTTGCACTATCTGCAGGGGGCCATCCTCTCACGAGTGGTGGATGGCCACCGAAGAGGCCACTGGTGAGGGCTGCAAACATACCTGCAGTTCTAATTAGGGTAGCAGAAGGAAATGGTACTCTAGTACTCGACACACTTGTGTGTCGGTGCCTTTCCTTCTGCTGTCTCTGTTCTAGTCTACTCTACCCGGGCGGTCTAAGACTAAAGTCCCGCTCCCTAACTA